AGAAAATGGTAATCCTTTGATCTGGAGAAAAGGAACTTCCAAAAATGTTTCCTTATACATACGTACTTTTTAGGATGATATTTTAAAGGATGCTGAAATAAGCAAGTTAGTTACAGGTAAAGACACAATGGCAATTTCACATTGACATCACTGGCAAGGAATGTGAACTGTCAGGTCAAATTGGCTGCACATATTTTGCATAAATACTGACTTCTGCATTCTGTCCCTGGGAAGAGTTGTTTCCATGCTCCATCAGCACACTCAAATACAATTCGTCCAAGTTTTATATATCCAGGCCGACATCTGTATGTTACTTTAGTACCATGGGGATAGGGAGGCTTGTCCCATCTTTCAGTAGGCACTTCTTTAACCCTCCTCGGTGGAGGTTCATCGCAAGCTGAAAATTATAAACAAAAAATAGTGGTGACTGAAGCACATACAAACACCAAAATAGTTTTACAATAGAAAATGTAGTAACAAATCCTGAGGACATTCGTGATCAAATGAGCATATGTTTTCTACTTAATCCTCACAAAACAAGAAACTGCCAAGAATCCACATACTGTAGGAATATGAACACACATTTAGAAGGACATAAGAATAGTCAAGCAAGTACCAAGAAACCACACAGGAAAGTCATAATTCACAAAATAGATTTTAATTACAAAGACTGAGATGAAATTACTACCCCAGTTCTAACCACAGAAATCCTTTATGCTTCCATCTGTAGGAGGCCCTCTGCCTGTCCTTCTATTACCACAGGGAACAATTCTGTGCATTCTGTAGATTCTTATCAAGCTTCTATTTAGTTCTGCAGCCACCACCATCCTCACTGACATTAAGTCCATGTGTCATTTGATCAAGCTCTGCCAAATCTCCCCTCAGCTTTACATGCCTCAGCTTTCTCTATAAGATGAGACCACCTGATACTCCAAAACTTACTTCCTCCTGTCCATGAGTTACTTAATGCACAATGTGATTAATTCTGGGTATTCACTTTGACCTTTGTTAGCTTCGAAGCATTTTGACTGAATCTGGGAGGTGGATGGTGTTGTCTGATATTTCTCATTAGTTCAATACTATATAGTCCTTCCCAAAAAGCTCTTTCCTGGGACTTCTTCAGTGTCCATGAAATGTACAGCCAAGCCCATATGAGTTACAAGAAATAATACTAAATTAATTTCATTAAGAAGCTCCTCAACAGCTTGAGAAAGAGAAAAAACAGACTAAAGTGGAAAGAAACAAACATTGGGAAGCTGTTAATGAAAGACTAAATGATCTTTTGTAAGAAACATTTTTTGACCTAATTTCAGTGACTAATTCTCTGTGCTTGACTGACTGAAATGCACTTATTTTAAAGACTGAATAATAGTCTGGACAGCCTAGCTAATCAGATGTGATGAAGTTTGTTTTATATCTGAACATGAAAGATGAGAATTCATCAAAAATAAATGAAATAACCTCTGAGAAATGCAGCCCTGAAAAGAAATAAGACCTCTATATAGAAAATAAATATCCAACAGGGAAGGAAGTTTCTTACTGAGTAAATTCATTACTCAGTAGAGAGCTGGCACAACAGTCCTCTCACCAGTTTACTTGTAAAGCCACAGTTTGAGAAAGCAGCAATACTCTCTGAAGCTTTCTTATGGATTGTTTGGGTGCTACCTCAAAGTGGAAGTACAGGAAAAATATTTAGAATCTTTCCTCATGCAAAGGATGCGGAGTTATGGCCTGCTGAACTAAACTATGGAAATCATAACCACAGATTAAGTAGCTGTGATTTCTAATACAAAGTGAGCAGATTAAATAAACTTCCACATCAAAGCGTGGAATAAGAATTTTACTTTAGATGTGCAAAGACATACCCTTGAACACTCACTGTTGTTATTTCAGTCTCTACCAAATTAGAGGCATGCTTTTAGAAAATTGTTTAAAGATAAATAAAAAAACCTGCAGAATTTTAAGTGTTCTGTAGTTACGGCCTTTTGAAAATATGAAGAATGTTAATTGTGAGATCTAATAACTTTATTTTGGCTATTTTAAGTAGCCAGAAGAAGTAGACCAGCTTTGACGATATTGCCGAGGTGCTAACAGAAGAGTACACTCACATATTCACTTTTTTTCCAACTACTTTAGTAACTACGCTCCCTCCTACGAATTACATCTAAGTAAAAATTATTGCTCCTGTCCACTAGAGGGTACTGCTATACTAACAAAAAAGGTAGTAGGGAGTTCTGCCTTAGCAAGATTAAGACTCACTTTCTAACAATGCTTTTGCAAAATGCAGGAACAAGTGAAATGAACAGGACTCCTTCTCTAGCTAGGTCTGCCTTTCAAATGTGTTAAAAATGGTTAGTTTACTAAAAAAAAAATAATAATTGTAATAGTGAAAAAAGTATTTTTTTCTAATTCTACATATTTTTCATCAGAGCTCATTACACTATTTGCTTTCAGTTTGCAAGCTGAGAAAGCACACTCTGAATTTTGTCATTTAAATACGAAGCTATTTAGTACTAGGAGAGCTTCTCTGCTCTATTCTTCCATTACTTCTGAGTTTTACCACATTTTTATTAGCTGTTGTGCCGAATGGGGCCTTTTAACACACACACACACACAAAAAAGGCACAAAAAATAATCACCTTAGTCTCTATCATTTCTCTGATTGTTCCATGTGTTACCATCAAGTGTAACAGTATGTACAGTATTTCCAACTACAGCTAATTACTCTTCTTTTTAATGCAGTTTCTAAGCAGTTTGAAAAGGAAAAATCTGCTGACAGGATGTGCTTCTAAACTGTATTAATTACACCATGCACTTTGCTGTGTGTACTTACTGAAATTGGGAGGGTTTTATATTAGAAAGCATGCACTAAATGCATACCTTCAAATCCCTTAGTGAGAGACCAGGAGAGCTGGAATTAATCATTTACTATTAATATGAATCCAGTTAGAAATAGTTCAAGCTGCTCTCTTGCTGTCATTATGCTGTTAGCAACTTCCATAACGTTAAGCACAAACTATGAATTCAGGTAGAAGGATTTTTCAACTCTTATACAAAACCCCAGCTCTTGAAAAACACACATAGACATTCAACATAAAGCTTGAACTAAGAACCCTGGTAATAGTTGTCTCAGATAAATCAAATATTGCTACATTCACATTTCTTTGCAATCTCTCTGATCTAAAGAAAGCACTGTGAAAAGGAAGTGCAAATTCAGGCAAACTTTCTTTTCAAATGGCAGGACTTTTCTGGGCTTTTTTTCAAACAACTTCATTAGTTGCTTTGAAGCAGTATTTAATGTAAGCATATATATAAAAACATGATACATTCCAGTAATGTCCTGATTTTTCAGTTTTTCAAAGTAAAATCAATCAGATTGTTTTGATTAATAAGGTCTTCATCAACTTCACCTAAAATTAAAAACAAACTGAAACAAGCAAAGACATACTAGCTCAAAACCAGGTAACACCCTTTCCCCAACAGGCTATGTAAAGAAAGCCAGATAGATAGAAAGCAAAAAAATAAATTACTAAACATACATTAAACAATATAAACACAGTATCAAGAAAAATAAATTGAACAGAGAAGCAGAAAATATCAGAGGCTTCTGAAAAGAATCCCAGAATACTAGCTACCTCTTTAAACATGAATGAAGCATACCTGTATGCATTTATCTCATTCAATGGATTAAAACCAGTCTGTCAGTCAACAGATATTTTGTAAGCTTTTCAGTCAATTTTGTAATTATTCCTCTCAGATTATTTTACAGATTCTTCTAGGCAGAAAGAGATGCTTATTTATTGAATATTTTCTATTTTGATCTACCAGCTGTTTACAGGGTTTAGATGTTAGAATTAACAAACACAATTAATAACAAATGACTTGTCTTGCTCTAGTTTATAAGGATAGCAACCACTAAAAAGTTGTGCAACAGATTAATAACAGCAGTAGTTATGCAAATGAATAGGTGAAATAACACCTATCACAACATACTAAGTACTAAAGGTGCTAAACACTGCCAGAAAATATCTCAGTTATTGCTGTGAGCAGTTCATTAAATAGGCTACAATGCAAACATTTTATTTACATATTTAGTTACCATCTTCACATACACTTTAAGAAAGGGTTGGGTTTTATTCTCCCACATTAAAGCTTACCTCTTTCTGCAGTACAATACATCCAGCATAAGACCAGAGCTGTATAGCCCAGGAACGACATCCTAGAGATTCAGAAACTCAAGTAGATTTAGTATTGTAGCCTACTTTTTTTGATTACTTTGTGTTATTTCCAATCATTTTTCTCACTGACTGTTCCAGGGACTGACCTTGCAAAGCATTTATACTCTGGTTTCAGCAGTCACTTCCCCTAATCCTCTTGCAACACACAAATGTTTCTTTTTTTTTTTTCCCTCCCTCTCTAAACTTTGCAAATGAATAAATAAATAAATGTCCAGCAATTCTGGGTGACACAGTCCTTCTCTGTGCTCTACTGGTTTTTACACCTTACCTCAGTTTTTTTCAGATTAATCCATTCCATACTCAGATGAGTTTATTTCTCTTGGTATCGAAAAGAAGTTGCACAAATAAAATATTTTGTGATTCCTCATCTTATATGCTTAGTTGAAAACCAGAAAGTCACATTAAATGCATGTAAAAATTAACTTTATTATACGCATATCATTCAAGATCTATGTTGAAAACACCTGAAATAAAAAGCAAACAACAAAAATACAGAGGGAGTTATTAACCCCCTGGTTCTTGTGTAAGATAACTACCCAGAGCAAAGGAAATGTACTTGATCAAATACTTGATTAAATAAACTTAGGTGATGTTGAAGCACTTGTTTCAGTATCACATAAGAAATTATAAAATGGAGAAGATGTGAATGAATTTTAAGATGGGTAACGAAATATCCAAAGAAAAGTAATAAAGGTTGCGGTAAAAGAAGAACAGTATGGCAATCTGCACTAACAGAGGAACTCCTCATGGATTCAGGTAAGCAACAGTCTTATTAATATTTTCATTAAATGTCTTGGCTTATAAGAAGTGCACTCCAGTGGAAAACTGGATAATATGAAGAGAATTATTTGATACTGAGAATTAGGGAAAAACAATTTGAGAGTGCAAAGTGCTCTTGGAAGATGGACATAAAACAGCTGCACACTAGATATCCCATAGTGGTGATGCCTGACTAGCATGGAGTACACACAGACTGATCTTCTATATAGTCCCAAAAGTCCACATAACGTACCCTTAAAATTGACGGCTCAGTTAGCCTACTGATACAGGATAAAAAATAGTGTGTTTAGAGAACAGAACTCAAATTCCAAAACTTTCTTCTCAAAACGCAGTTGGATTTTTTCTTTTCTTTTCTTTTTTTTCTTTTTTAACCTGGGCTGTGTTTTCATCAGTTACCAATTCTAAGAAATTCCTTAGTGAAAACTGGCCTAGTGAAAACTAGCTCTTTCACCTATAGGAACTCTTCTAGACAGCATAAAATCTCTTCCTATCCCTCCCCCTTTCTCTTGCTGAGCGACTCGTATGTGGAGAATGAACTCCATGACATGTGATGATTGGTCTGCATGAAATTGCAGTTACTGGTGCATACCTGGTCAGTAAAAAGGTATTTTTTTTGCACCTGCCCAAGTTGAGTTGTAAAAAAGCTCCAGATAGAACTTCACTGCCCAAATCTTCAATTTGTTTTGTTCTGTAGTAGAGAACTGTGTGCTGCTGCAGACAGCAGTGCTCTAACTACTCCAACAATCCCACTTGTCTTCTCTGCACCAGTCTTACTGAACTACCATACATGCATGCTTTTACCCACTTCTGTACCAGTGCATTGCTGGATGCAAAAGATAGTTTCCTTGCAGTGGTACGACGGTTTGGCACAGCAGTGGTACTATCTGCTTTTCAAATGTAGCGGTGACACTGCTGCTTTTCAATTCCAGCGGTGACACTGCTGCTTTTCAATTCCTTAACCACTGTGGGAAGCTTAGAAAGCAGGAGAAACATTGAGGCAGAGTGCTGGGAGGCACACAGATTCCAACCCATAGACAGTGACTCAACCCGATTAGCTGTAAAAATCCACACTGAAAGCATGGGTTCTAAAATTTCTCCGATTTCAAGTGTTGTATCTTCTGATGTCAAAGTGGTTCAGGCCTTACCAAACTGCTTGGGGGATAATTTCCGCCATAGCTGAACCAAAACTGGAACTGAATTGAAAATTTACCATAAATTTCCTGACTGCTTTCTATGAATACACACAATGTTAAAACTGTAACATCAGCACACAAGAGCAGATAGGTATAAACTTCCTAGGAATAAATTAAAGCTGAAAATTACAAGACTCACCTAACCTAGTGAGGCTTTGAAGTAATCTTTGCACGGGCATAATGTAGGCCTATATATAGAAACCATGTTCGATGACAAAGCAAGTGACTGGACTTTTCCAATCTTGTATTTGTGATCTTAAAGGAATTGATTAAACTTACCGTAACTAAACGGAAATAAAGTCAGGAACTTAGTGAATCACAGCATCACAAAATCAACATCAAACATACTTCTAAATTACCTTTCTTCACTAGTGCCCCAAAGTTCTAACCGTACACACAAAAGCTGTGCATCCACCCACCCATGGATGCAGGCTGCTGGCAGAGCTAGGGAGAATGCATTGCCTGGCCCAGACAGAGGTTTTGATGGCAGTATGTGAACATACAGCAGTATCCAACCCAACTCCTCTGGTTTTGACTGCTTCTTCTGTTCTCACTGTTCTCCCCACTATTACGAAGTTTCATTTGTCCCTTACATTTCTTTCCAGCCTGGCACCTTCCTTGCTCCAAAACTCTGCAACGCCCTGGTTACTGTTTAATCTGGTTGATGGTTGTCATCCCCTTCGATATGATCAGCTGTAGCATATACACTCTCAGACAGTTTTGGATGCTTGAACTCACAATCCTACCTTAACAGCTGTTGTTGTGCAGGCCATTTTACCAAGGATGGCCCCTGTGAGCACTATTGCAAACACAAAGCAATATTATGAATTCTTTGAATATTCCTTCAGCGTCTTCCAACACAAATTAGATAACAGCATGTGTTCAGGCATGTTCAGGGTTTTGCAGCAATGACAGGAGACATCGTATCCAATTCCAAAAGTATTTTGTACCACACTTCTTATTACTCTCTTGTTTAAATAAAATCTCATTCTCCCACCTTTGTGCTCTGTACTCAAAAGCAAAGTTAAAATTACTTGAAAAGGTGTTCTTTGCAAAAAAAAAAAAAGATGCTCTCCTATATAAAAGCAGCTGTCAGTATATCTAGTTTTAAATGAAGTCCTCCTACTCACAGCCAAGTGGAGATATACTGGAAGGCAATTCAGGGGTTATCACCATTTCCTACCAGCTTGTTCTCCCCTGCTGCAGTGCTGCTATTCCTCTTGTTCCTACGGTTTCTTTCCACGACACCATTGGTTCGAGGACTGTGGAGCACCAGGACCATGGGTAGCCCTGAAGTGGATGCTGTTCCTTTTTGGATCTGTGCTATAATGGTTTAGCATATAAGACTATAAAGATTGAGTCGTATCGTATGCCCGGTTTCTCAAACAGCCTTATAAGGATCATGCTTGCAGTATAGAGTCATGCTCACCAGGCTATGGAAAGCATGCCCTCTACCTACCAAGATTTCATTAGATACCATACAAAAAAACCCCCAAACAAACAAACAAACAAAAACAAAAATCAAAACCACCTCTTTATTTTTTTTTTTTTTTTAATCCTTTCAGAGAAATTATCAAATTGGAAATTTCTCACATTTCTCCTTCTGCCCTAGCTTTGCAGCTTACTGTGACCTTAAAACTTCTAGCTTTGTAGCTTACAGTGACCTCAAAACTTTGTTCTCACTTTGGGCTATTTCAGTCTGTTACTGTTTCTGAATCACTATCAAACCTTTCATGTCAGTGGAACAGTCTGCTACTGCACAGCCATTTAAAAAATAGGCACCAAGTGGAAAGATAAGAGGACTCCAAGAACATTTTTTCCTTGAAGTTTAAATAATTCCAAACATTGCAGCATTGTACTCTGGAAGGTGTATCAGACAGTAAAATGAAGAGACATACAAAATAAAAATGCAAAATACACAATAAAAATTAAACAGGATCATTAAAGACTTAAAGGTGTGTAAGAATAGGAAGATTTGTTTAAAAATAAATACTTCTTTTGAAAAAAATAAATATGTGTAGCCATCTGGAGCATGTGCTGCTGCTTGTAGAATATTAACAATTTTGTAAAAGTTTCATTATATATTAGTAGTATTCCTCCAGTAGCTGTGCTTTCTTAAAGGACAATTAAGATTATCATCAATTATTCCTGTTACTAGTCCAGCACACAACCTAGAAAAGAGGATTTCTCTCTGCAGAAACACTGCAGGAACTTACTGGACAATGTAACTATTATTTATACTACAGTAGTACTCAGACACTAACCCCCTGACTGTGCTGCAAGATTCAGAATGAACTAAAAATGGGCCTCATCACTAACAGCCAAGAATCTAGTAAGCTGTAACAAATGTAAACTAACAAAGAAAGGGACAAACCTGATACACTCATGTTGACCTAACTCACTAGCAAGTTCTTTTTAAGAAAAGGATGTGAAAGAGTGGCATTACAGTGGCAATTCCTTTGCAGCGTGGGAGAAGTAAGAAAATGATGATGCTTTCAAATTATAATGTGTGGGAACAGAGAGTATTATGGAAAGATGCAAGACAGAAGTAATCATGTGAATAGGAAATGACACAGAAGAATAAGACAAAGTCCAGGCAGTCCTTGGAATTGAAATAAGTAGTCTATCTATCTTTGATGTAACAGATATGGTGCCATGGTCACAAAAATAAGGAAGGTAAAAATTGCTGCCCTTATTCAAGCAGTAACTGACACAAAAAATGATAAGCCTAAGAAATGTATGCTAGATTACATAAAATAAATATGCGAGAACCAGATGTTATAGATGCAAGGATTTAAAATTACAATCTCAAAGTACTGTGGGCCCTATATATTTTGTACTGTTCAGTTCAGCAACATGCCTTTGCTCTCCATCAACCTCAGGAAGCACAAGTATTGCGTAAATGTAAAATGTAAGGCTATACAATTTAAAGGTAATTTTGCCCTCTTGCAACTCAATAGGAACCCACTTAGGCATCCTGGCCTGAGCTATGTCCATTACTAAGTATTATTTGTATACAGTGGTGATATGTACACTTTGTAGACATGTATTTTAAAAAGTCAAAATTGCAGTCAATGAGCTTAAATGCTTAAATCTATTAAGGCATCCTCTACATAACCATTTCACACTGGTGTAGTTTATACTCATATACTCCACATCACTAAATAAAAGTTCTGTATCATGGTAAGCAAAGAGGAAGAGTCCTCAAAATACATCTTGTATTGATCCTTGAGATCCCTTCCAATGTGGTATTCTATGATTATGTAACCTCTCACCAGTTTTTGCTATTGACTTCATTTAGCCTCTCAGATACATTCAGATTATAGGATGCTGTGACTTGCAGTCCAGCACACCTAACTTGAGTCCTGTAAGACACCTATCCTGCACTTCAGATATGAGATTGCTGTTGGAGTTGATGGTCAGAAAGCCAGGCAAAAAAATTAAAATTAAAAAATGAAAAAAAGAAGAAAAAAATCCCAATAGATTTCTTTAAAAAAATGGTTGGTTTTTTTTTTTTTTTCCTGAGGACTGTATGTTTTTCAATGTTTAGAATTTGTTTTCTGAGATAAACAGTATTTATCGCCACAAACTCCTCACTTCATAATTTCATCTAGGCACATTTTAACAGATAATGTCATTATGCTTTTTTCTACAGAAGATTCCACCTTTGCAGATTCTTTTGGAAGTGAAACTGCAGCTAATGTGAATCAAATATTGTTTACATGCAGTAAAGCCCAAATCATTTTATCAACTGTGAATACTGAGTCCTTAAATATTCTACTTGGCTGGCAAATGCTAACACAAAAGAATGTCTCAGTGAGTGTCAATAATTAAACTTTTTAATAATAAAGACAACCTTTTTGATGGAAATAGAAAAAAACTTACACAATAATCTGATCTACTTTATTACATTAGAATGCATAATTCAGATTTATATAGAGGGGCAGAACCTACGACCATAGAATCAGTGAAGTTGGAAAAGATCTTTAAGATCATCAAGTCCAACCAGTCCCCCGGGACTGCCAAGTCCACCGCTACTATCATGTCACTAAGGGCCTCATATACACAGTTTTTGAACACTTCCAGGAACAGTGATTCCAGCACTGCCCTGGGCAGCCTGTTCCAACGCCTGATCACCCTTTCGGTGAAGAAATTTTTCCCAATATCCGATCTAAACCTCCCCTGGTGCAGCATTGAGGCAGTCACCTCATGTCCTATCACCTGTTACTTGTGAGAAGAGACCAGCCACCTCCTCACTCTATTCTCCTTTCAGGTAACTGTAAAGTCTTGAATTAAGAACAGTATTAATTATCTACGTATACCTCCATATACACTGCAACTGTTCAGAAAGTCCAGAATCCATCTGCACTGTGCCAGCCTGTTTTACTTATACACCACCAAAAATATAAGTAACCTAAAAAGGAAACCTCAATTATTTTTTTTTCTTTCTGTAACTTGGTCTGATCCAAGATTTATAACCAACAACTAGCAAAAAACTCAGTAACACAGTTCCTAACTGTGTTGTCCCCAACTTCCAAACTTCCGAGATAAGTACTTGAAAAGAGTTACCCACCTATATCTAGCCAATTTTTTTTTTTTTTCAAAAAAGAGAGTCATTGAAGTCTATTTTCAGTCCCCAAGTCAAGCCAGGGCTACAGATGCTTCTGACACTTCCCAGGGCCAGAATCATCCCAAGAGTATAAACCTACATTTGTTCCTTAAAAAAAACAAGCATGGCTCACACCTTTTCTTTAGCAGACAAACAAGGGCAGAGGGAGTGCGAAGCTTGAGCAAAGTGACCCGATAAAATAGTTGATATATAACAGCATCTGTCTCCAAGTGGATTTCAGTGTCTCCTCAGCTTAAAGACATACATCTCCCAGCTGTTTTGAGCTGCTAATAAAAATATCTGATTTAGCTAACTAAAATCCCATTTCTGCCCAATTTTATATATTTAGACCAGGCCAGGCCTCATACTGTCAGACATGTAAAACCACAGCTAATTTTATATTGCAAAGAGTTTATATTACTTAGGAGCATAAAATTAAACCTTTGTATAAATTCCACTAGTATAGTCTCAGTTACGAGTTTGCTTTTTATTAGCTCTGCTCAACTATTTACCAGGTTGCTAGTTTGCCTGTCAGCTATTACCATTCTGAAATGCATTTCCATGGTAGAAAAAGCTCAAGTAAGAAAACAAATGTTAAATTGATCAGTGAATGTGGAAATGTTAATGGGGCTGTTTGTTAGAAGATTTAACAGAACCACCATTAATTTCCCAGTTGATCTAGGATTCACAGGCTTCAGAAAAGGACTATGGTTAGCCTACTTCACTTTTATAAAAAAAACAATATACAGGCTCCATTCCACCTTAAGTTTTGGCAAGATGAAAAGATACCCAGGCAGAGAGAGGAAATAGTATTTTCTTAGGGGAGACAGCCTGTTCAACAGGAGAAGCAGCTGAGAGAAAAAAACTAACAAACAAACAAAAAACCATGGCTAAACATAAATATTCTAAAGAAAAAATATTCTGGTTTTTTTTTTTTTTTTAATTAGCCTTTTAGAGAGCTTTGACCTCAAAGCACAGCATGGCAAAACTGGCAAGAATGTGACAGTGGGGTAATTCACTATTTTATTTATTTGCCGTATCAGCCAAAGCAAAGAGTGAGCTACCTTTGAACTCTTGCCACATATGTGCATCTGGTTTGCTTCATCTAACAAGCCTTTCTGAGAAGCACATTGTAAATGCTGAATGCAGCAAGCTGTGAAAAAGGGCAAGCATCATACCCAAGTGATGCCAGCACTTTACAGGGCCTGGGATACAACACTGCAACTCACTAAAGAAACATCAATCAGAGAACCTATGCTTAAAAACTCTGTGATAAAGAAGCAAGGAAAGATGCGCTGTCTGTAACAATAGCAGAGATACTCCGAGTCCTGAACTGGACTACCTGTTGGTTACTTGGAGAAATCTTTCCATCAAAGCTCAGAGCTGGATTCTTAGCAGGGCACATTATTATGTGATACACACCAGGCTGCCATACTTAAGCTGATTCTGTATGTGCCATATCAGCTTTTAACCAGCTTACTTTCTACACAGAAATCCAACTGAATGGAAAATAGAAAGTTCACTTTTCAATATACAGTATGAATACATGCTCCTAATTAAGAATACGGTATTTAAACCACATGTAGGAAATAATAACTTCTCATTTATCACTTAGCCCCTCATCTTCCAAAATCTGAACTTGATTTTAAAAGAACTATACCAGTGTTAAGACTGTGCGTGACTTAATTCTAGGAAAGGAATGCTACAGCTGAATGGTATAAGGTGGAGACCTAATCTGGGAAGGCAAATGACAGGCTTCCAAAATGTAGTAACATATATGTTTATTGGAACTGGGGCATTAGATGCTAAGTATGATAGTTAGTGTAGATTACAGCGGACCTTTAAGAGCAAATCCAAAAAACATTATTCACTATTTCAAGGTGGTGACAGTGGATTCAAGCAATCAGTAATACGTCCTTCATCAGTCAGGTAAGAAATTCACTTCCTAGAGTGCCTCCTACTTTGTGACATTGCCCACAGATTTCAAGCATTGGAACAAATCGAGTTCCCTGTACATTTACAGGGCACATGCCATCACCCCTGATAAGCGCAATAAACCCCCAGGTAATGGAAAGTGGAAACTGACCAATGACGTACCATGTTTGCACTTGGGATTTCGGAAGAGTTGTCACAAAGCAGGGTCAGACATAAGTCACTCACTAGATATGCCCAACTGATGACCTATCATCAGTAACCCCGGGGCTGCACAAAGGCCACCTATAGCCCCCCAACGTAAAACACCTCACTTTTCGAAGGTTGACGCCTACATAAGAGCACTTCTGAGGACGTCCCGGGTGGTACAAGAGGAAGTTGCTAGCTGTGGGAGGTAGCTTGTGGGGGGGACCCATGAGCTCCCTCAGAGGAAGGGCTGGAGCCGAGCTCGAGGTGCGACGCGGCTTCTCCAGCCAAGTGCCGTCCTGCATGTCCGAAATGCGTGCTGCACGGTGCAACCCCCGAGGGCGA